ATATATATATATATATATATATATATATATATATATATATATATATATATATAATATATATATATATATATGGAGAGAGAGAGCGATAAAGAATATATGCCTATTTATATTAAGTATAAGCTTATAATGTATCTAGGCCTGTTATTACATTTTTTGACAAATCTGCACTAGTACGTAGAGCATATTCCCAAAGTATATTTTTAGATTGCGATATCAGCTGGGCGAAACTGAATTGTTTTTTTTAATATTCCGAATTCACACCGTACGTCAGGCACCCGCACAAACTGAGTAAGGTCGAGTTCACACATCGCTCGACTAAACTTGATTATAACCACGCTCGAAAGAATATATCTATAGAGACGGTACCGGTATACGATATTTCGAGCCTTAGACCAAAGAAGTGTTCTAAAAATGGATACCAGTTGGAAGTGTTATATTGTTTCGGTTTTATATCTCTCTTTTAGTTACGGTAAATATTTCTTTTATATTTTTTCCCCTTTAGGCCTTATTTCTGTTGGTTTTCTCTGAAGATGCTGGACTTTTGCTGTACGTTTTATTACAACATGGAGCTTTTATTTGTAGCTCCATGGTTACAACGGTCAACTTTAAGAGTCCGATTTATGTAGCTATAATACATGGTATATTTTACATTTTAAGACTTGATGGTATCACTCTGTTTCGTTATGAATTGATTAATTAAATATAACTTTATGACTTGCGAATATTCATGGGCGTTAATTACCCGAGTAATAGGCCTTTCTGTAATTATACATATTAGGCCTTGGCCAGTGAAAAGAACTCCTTTTGTGAATTCAATATTAAGAATAGGCCTTAGGTTTAGATAATTCTTCGCTGTAATATTTATAGCAAAAAAATTTAGAAGAGGACGGCCGGGAAACATACCAAAATGATTGCTTGTGAAAAGGGGAGGAAATAGCAGGTGTTCGAATAGTTCTAAAGCAAAGGGGATGCACATAAAGGAAGAGCGGAAGGTATACTCAGTGGGATTTAAGGAAAAATTGATGTTTGTGAAGGAAAAAGTGGCTAAAAAATGGTGTTTTATAAGAAGGAGACCCTAGTAGGCCTACATGGTCACAATTCTGAGTTTTAAAAATGCAAACAAATCATAGAAACTTTGGTGATATTTTAGGATTATTATGCACTCTACAACGAGTGTAAGCATCACCATGACTTAACAAACACACAGTAGCCTAATAATACAACTGAAAGCAGAAAATGGACAAAGAAGACGAGCATCTAGCCTTAGTAATAGACTACCTTCTTTGGAGATTACGAACAAAGCCTATCGATCTTTTACAAAGCTAGACTTCTCATTCTTTGGAGTGTAGACCTAATTCCCTTTTGACCGTAATCTATTAACATAACTCTAGAGATGATTGTATTTTGGGAATTTTTTTTTTTTTCAATTAATATTTTGTTTTGAGGAATAACTGTCCAAAACCATGTTGGTTGAAAAGTACCGATCTCGCGCGAATAAGCTCCCCGGTCGAATAAGTGCCCCATTCTAATTTGAATAAACGTCCCCAATCAATCTTGGGACTGTGGATGTTGGCATGATTTGAGGTGTGGAGTGGAAACACATCCTCCTGTAGTCAATATCAAAATGAGGATATTTATCTTGGACAGATAAGAGCTCCCTGGACAGACAGTATATTTCCAACTTTCATCTTCTTACATTTGTCTATAGTCCTACTCCTTTTTCGGACAGTTTGCACCTTTAACACTTTCTCATCTAAGTTTTGAAGAAAACCTGCAATGATCATGCCGTCCTGCTATTTTCAATCGGCCGATGGCCAACAAGCTAACCACCACCACTGATTTCATCTGCTATTCTCTGTTATGTAATACTGTACTCACAACATCCTTGTCATGACAAGCCATGCTCTCTGTACGATTGTCTTTTCAGCCGCACCACCATTCGTAATTTGCGGTTTCCTAATGTCCTTATATAATCGTTTTTCAATCAAAATGTGCCTCTTGAATTTAATAAGTTCTCATATAAACCTCTCGATTTTCATCTATTTCAATAAGAGCCCCCTCAATTTCCACTCTGTTTTCATAAGCACCCCGTTCGAATAAGCGCCCTGTTTGAACCCCCCACCCCCTCCCCTCAAAAAGTACAAAAAATATTTTAAGCGCCCGGGCGTTATTCGCGCGAGTACGGTATTGGGAAAAAAGAATTAGGTCTATATTCATATTCAAGTCTCAAGAGTGCCCTTTTCGGTCATTAAGCCGTAGCCTTGAAATGTTGTATCTTATCCCAACCATGGGGCTAGTTGAGGTTGTTGATTGTAAAGGTCCCTCTGGTCCCCCTATTAAAAAATCTTGTATCTGCCACTGATTTTTTAAAAAATTATTCGTATTATCATAATTATTATTATTATTATTATTATTATTATTATTATTATTATTATTATTATTATTATTTATTATTATTATTATTATACATTTTTTTCTTTATTATTGTTATTATTATTTGTTATTTATTTAATTTTCAGAAGAATTTTATAATGCATTTTTGCGTTGTCTGAAATAAAATGAAATGAAATGCAAAAAAAAAAATGAAATTAAATACACCGGATGCTAACAGACCTTTTTTTTCAATTTTTTTTTATTCAACTTCAAAAAACATGACAAGACATTCAAAGCAAAAGAAAAAATAACAGTAAAACATTAGTCATTCCTTATTTATAACATTCTCATTTAATTTTTAAAAACATTTTTTCTTTTGTAAATATCATTCTAATTCTGTGGAAGTACTTTATTTTAATTTTAAGTTAAACTCAATAGTAGTTGGTATAACCTCCTTTACTTTAAATAGAAAAACTTAGAAATGAGCAATACAAGGTAGAAGTTCATCCGATTCTTTGCACACTTTCAGTTTAAATTCAAGCCCATAACAGACCTTTTCGCTAAGCCCCCATCCCCGGATAGTTAGCTAAGAACCAGGGCCGCCAAGAGGGGAAACTGTAACAGGGGAAAGGGTTAATTTGGGCCCCCAGTTACGAGCGCGAAGCGCGAGAAAGATTGCGTCGAAGGCTCAACGATATTTTGAAAATTATTATGTGCTGCGGCCTAGTTAGAGATTTAGCAACTTTACGAAAACGATAACGTATACGTATACGTCAATTTGGTGTCTAAAACACTCTTGACAATACACATGTCGCGAGTTGTTGAATATGATCGTTGATTCATGTAAAAAGCTTGAAGTGTCTACTTTTATGCGTGGACATTGAAACACAAAGCTCCACGCAATGTTGTCCCGTTTTGGTGTGTTTAGGTCTGGCCTAATGTATTTAGGTTTCTGACGTGTTTAGCATTACATGTGCTTAGGTATTTGACACCATTACGTCTAATACGCACATGTTTTTAATGCTAAACGCGTCAAAATCGTAAATACATTAAGCTATGTCTGAACACGTTTAGCGTTTAAACGTGTGGAGCTTTGTGTTTAAATGCTCCACGCTGTTTTATAGTGTGTAGTGGATAGATTGACGAAAAAAAATGATGACGTAACAGTATTCGTTATCGTTTTCGTAAGCTTGCGAAACCGCCCTGTTATTGCTATGTGGTGCTTGGGTTATTTGTGCAAAAACAGTTTTTTTTTATGATTAAGTCTATCATTATCATATTTTAATAGTATTATTAAATTGTCATTTAGTTTTGTTTCTATTTTTACAGGGAATGCTGATTACTGTTATGATGATAATGGCTATCTGGAGTTGATCTGTTCAGATTACTTCACTTTAGATTCCTATTGCTGCGGCGAACCTGGCTTCTACTACTGCTGTGATTCGGATGATTACGAATTCTATAATACCGTTGCTTCGTAAGTAGTTTTAAGCCCTGTACAGATTATCAATTTTTCTTTGACAAAAAAACTGTTGTATGCCTCTATATAGTCATGATGTGCCTATAAATGGTCATCATGTGATGTCATAATGACCATATTTAGGCATGTCACATGTTTGTTTTTCAAATAAAATTCGTTAGTCTGGACAGGGCTTTACTTAAGTACGGTACATTGATAAGTCCTTGTTTGACTCTAAAATGGCCTCTCTCATGAAAAAGACTCTAGTAAAGCAATTCAATAAACAACATAATTCTAATAAATTTTATTTAGCTCAACATGCTAGAAGAGGAACAGTAAAAGCACGATTAGAGTTACCGTACTCGCGCGAATAAGCGTCCTGTTTGAATAACCGCCCCTCCTAACGTGAAAATGTCCTTTAGCGCCCTGTTTGAAGCCCTGCTAATCTCAATCGGCCGTGGCCAACAAGCTAGCCACTACCCACCACCACTAATTACATCTGCTATTTTGCTGTTATGTAAATATTCACGCATTCTTGTCATGAGCCATGTTCTCTGGAGGATTATCTTTTCCGCCTAACCACCATTCGTAATGTCCTTTTCATTCAAAAAGTGCCTCTTGAATTTTATAATTTCCCATAAGAACCCCTCGATTTTCATCTATTTCCATAAGCGCCCCCTCAATTTCCACTCTGTTTTCAGCGCCCCGTTTAAATAAACGCCCCGTTTGAATAAGGGCTCCTCAGAAAGTGCAAAAAAATATTTTAACACTGTATCTATTTTATTGGAGGGCTAAAACAGAAGCTCCGTACCGCAAGCTTTTCTAGTGGCACGTAGCTAAACTCGTTCAGGAACACAGTAGTCTAACATGCTTATCACCTTGGCGTGTTTATCATTCAATGTTGCTTAGTTATTTATCAAATACCTATAATAGTAAGCGCATGTTTACCTTTAAACGTGTCACTAAAAGTGGAACAAATTATTTAGAACTTTTTATTCACCTAACTATTTTTTAAATAGTTTAGTAGGCCTACAATTATTCTTAAATGTTATTATTATAATAACATTTTGGGCCGTGTTGCTTGTATAATTATTTATATAGTAACTATTTAGTAAATGTAAGGCCCATCGTTTTTTTTTTGTTTTTTTTTTTTTGTCATTTTTAAATTTTATTTTAGAAGCCTCAGCACTGCAGTCATTGTCGTCATTGTTATCAGCGTCGTCATTGTTGTTGCTATTGTTGTTAGCATGGTAACATATCGTGTGTTCTGCGCCACTGTCGTGACCGTTCGCCCGACGAGGACAGCATTCGTAACGACACGTAAGCATAGATTTTTAATAAGTATAATGGCAATTTTAAATTAAGTATTTTCTATTGAAATTGAAATTAGTTTCTATTTTTGAAACAAACCTAATCCAATAACTTCCGGGCTTTAAGAAGATCGTATTTACCAAAACCAATAGCCCTACTTTAGGTATGAAAATTTAACACAATTTCGTAGTAAAAATTATAATTCATTTTTGTGACAATTTAATATACGGAACTTAACTCAAAGTATATAACTATTTAAGGTCTTTTCGATTTTGGTGGCAGTAAATGTGATGATATTACGTCATATTTAAAAGAACTATAGCAAGCTTTAATAGCGAAAAACAACAGAAAGCGGCGTCACCTTTTCTCTTGTGAGAACGGTATTAATAGATTTTTTTTTTTTTTTTTTCAGATCAAACACAACAAGGTCAAGTAGTCGTTCATCCCCCTCAGGGTAGACAAATCACACAACAAGCAAACCTTCCCCCAGCTGGAGCTGTGTATCCACCTGAAGCCGGAGCGTATCCCCCGCCTTCAGTTACGTATTGTCCCCCTGTTGAAGGCGAGAAGCCGCCAATTTACTCTGTGCTATAGTTGACATTAGACAGACAAACCACTGCTAAATCAGTTATTGTCATTCTACAAACATTTTAAAATGCTATTACAATAGGATAATTTTATAAACATCGTTAATAATAAAAATTAAAAAAATGTAGGCTTAATGATGAAGGGGAAACCACAATGCTTGGTAATTCATGATTTCCTCTTCCTATTTTAGTACACCTGTTGTTCTGCGACACCATTATTTATTATTTACACTAAAGGCGCAAACGCAAGATTGTTGAATTACTTTTGTTAGGACAGTACACTCAAGAACAAAGTAAAATTTTCCAGATTTTTTAAATTTCACAACTTTTTCGTTCGTATACTGAACAAGAAAAGGACTTCTAACGTCAGTCAACATTTCAACTTGCCAGACCACACTATTAATAACATCATAGGCCATGGATATAAATCTACCAAAGATAGAAAATGTCATGAGATACGTTGGGTTTTGAGACTTATACAC